ATTAATTAAAATATAATATAAATAAATAAATAAAACAGAAAATAAAATAAATAATATATATTAATTAAAATTTTCTTTAATTAATAATAAAATAAGAAGTAAAATAATCACAAAAAAACACAAAAAATTATAAAACACAAATGATTAAAGGCTATTTAGGGGTGGCATTAGCACATGATAGGGGTGCCATTAGCCACCCCCTAAATAAAATAAAAATAGTTTATTTAGCAAGCAAAACATATAGTTTAGATTTGCGTTTGTTACAATGATTTTAAACTCTTTATTCAAGGAATTCAATATAATCATAAATTAAATATTTTTTTCATTAATAATATAAGTTATGAATTAATAAAGTAACAATAACAAAAAAAAAAATTAAAGACAGTGTGAGATAAAATGAACAAAATATAGATAAAATGAAAATTAAGGATTAGTATATGAACTTTAAAGTTCTTATTCAATTTTTATACGGAAAAATTATACGATCATATACACATGATTAAAATTTGTAAAGTTACAAAATAAATGATATTGTTGTATATGAAATTAAAGAGAGAGAGAGAGAGACAAAAAGAGAGAATAGAAGTATGTCTACAATGGTGAGACCTTAACCCTTTATACGGTGTAAGAGTTAAGCTAAGATATAATGACAATATGGGAATTACATTGGCTATTAACTCATACATAAAGTTCCTCGTAATGGTGTTAAATATGACACTCAATACCTATAAATTTTGAGTTACAACATTCCCCTTTGGGTGTCATAATTTACACTAAATCACACTGGCACTTCTATGTCTTGTATCTTCTGATGTTCGCCTCGTCAAAACCTTGCCGAAGAAAACCCTTTGGGATGAAACTCTGATCGAAGGAAAAAAAATGCTACGTGTGACCATCTTATCGATGCATCAACCAAAACCATGAAATATTCAAATGGTCCGCATGTTGGTTGGATTGGTCCACAGATGTCTCGTTGGATTCTCTCAAGGAGACTGGAAACCACTTTTGTAGGTTTTACATGGAGTGGTTTGAGATGTGTTTTTCCAATTGAGCATGCTTAGCATGGAATTTGCGGATTAATAACGAAATTCTTCCCTCCAAGAGGATGCCCATGAAATGCATTCATTCTTCGAAGCATCGTATTTTGACCCTGGTGTCCCAGCCAGTCATGCCATAGCATATAAGTGCTCTCATCAATCGGAGCCCGATGAACTACTAGATTGCTTTCAATGTTTTGGATCGTGGTAACATGCAAACCACTTGAAAGACATCTCAACTTCTCCAATATATGTTTTTGGTCGTATTGATTAGAGGTAATGTATAGGTATTCAATACCATTTTCTCTAGCAGTTTCAATATGAAACTTGTTTTCTCGAATATCCTTAAAACTCAACAAGGTGCGACTGGACCTTGGAGAATATAAGGCCTCTGAAATGGTTAAGATGGTACCGTTTGACAACATGAATTGGGCTTTACCAAAGCCTTCAACTAGGAACGACGGGCCCGAAATTGTTGTCAATGAGGTTACTTTAGGCGTAAAGTTGATAAAATAACTTTAATTTTTTAGGAAAGTATGGGTAGTACCACTATCAGCCAGACAATCAGCTGTTCCACAATGCATGCCTAAAAGTAAAAATAATTTAAAGTAGGTCACACTAAAAAATTCACAAGGAAATAACTTCAAATTATATCGAGAAAAATTTTATTTAGAGAAACAAAATCATAATCCAAAAAAGATATTCAATATCCATATGGAAAACATAATCCAAATGTAGGAAAAGTAATCCAGGAGCTAAACAACAACTCGGTTATTATATGATAAACTAACATATCTTTATTATTCTATTTGAGCCACAAAATCAGGGGTCTCAAGAAATTTATTCCCGTTTGCTTTGACAACATTTGCTTCGGCTTTTCTTCCCTTATGATAGTTTTCAACTTCTTGGGAAGTAGCCTTACAAGTTCGTTGCATATGACCATAACCACCACATTTGTAGCATGGAGTTTTATCATTAGCATCATCTCTTGCTTTGGGACGACTGGCCCTTTTGTTGTTGTTCCTAGCACAAAACTGCCAGGGGCCACAAGTCGTCGGTACGGATGAGTTCTCGAACCTCGCTTGCAAGACGAGTTTTAGGCTCACCAAGATTCACTGGCTTTCGGGACGACTAGCCCTTGTTCTTGGTTCCCGTACCTTGGGCGATGACCACATACATTATTAGCATCAGGCATTGAAATTGCCTTTGTCCCAACAGGACGAGATTTGTTATTTCTCATTAAAACGATGCTACTTTTCTCATGCAATAATAATTGGGTAGTGAGTTCAGGGAACGTTTGGAACTTGGATTGACGATATTTCTTTTAAAGCAAGTTGTCAGAGCTAGGAAATGTAGTGTATATCTTCTCCAATAAATCATTATCAGTCAAGTTTTCACCACAATAGTGGAGAAGAGAGTGGATTCTACACACTTCAGCGTTATACTCAGTAACGGTAGCAAAGTCTTGGAATCTCAAATTTAGCTAATCTTGGCGGGCTTCAGGAAGCCATATGGTCTTTTGATGGTCGAAGCGCTCTTTCAAAGAGTCCCATAATGCTTTAGGTGAGGTGATTGCTATAAATTCAAACTTCATTATATCTGACAATTGACGACGAAATAATATCATCGCCTTAGCATTCATTTCGCGGGTAACTTCAAATTCGCAATCATCCTCATCATAAATAAGATCCAATAAGCCTTGGGCATCTAGGTGGTTCTGGATATCTTGAGTTCAATCCAAACAGTTCTTGTCGGCAGCATCTAAGATCGGGAATTCAAATTTGATTGACATTTTTCTACGACGGGAGAAAAATATTGGATTAGTTATCATATAAAAGAACAGGTTTATATGTTTATGGTTTTGTATTGATATAAACTATGTTTCGAAACGACTAGTTCAATAAACATTAGTTTTGCTAGCACTAACTTTGTTTCGAAGCGACGAGTGTCGAGAAACACAAGTTTTGCTCCAAGGTTGAATAGGTTCTCCTTGATCGATCAACGGGTCGATTGCGAGACACCGATTCGGCGAAAATACACAAGTATATAAATACATTCTAGGAAATTATTATTTACTCAACCCCTTTCAGTAGCTCT